AGAGAATGAGATAGAGCATGAGAGGGGGGAGGGTCAGAAGGAGAAACAGACTCCCTGCTCAGCAGGGAGCCCAATGCAGGACTCGATCCCGGGACTCCAGGATCATGACCTGAGCCGAAGGCAGTCGCTCAACCAACTGAGCCACCCAGGCGCCCCCCTGAGTATGTATTTATACAACCAACTCTACGGTTTCTTATAACTTCAGTCTATTTAAGTGGCGATAATAATAATAACACTTTAACATTTTTTTTTTAGTATTTACCAAACACCAGGCATTACTTTATAAGCAGATCTCATTTAACCTTAAAACAATCCTCTGAGGTACGCAATTACTATCCTCATTATAAAATTAGGCGAGCTATTGTTCAGAGATCTTGAGTCCCATACCCAGTTTACATAACTCTACTTTATTGTTTATTATGTCACGATATTCTATGGTTTATTATTGATGGATACACAAAGGATGCTGGATCCCCAACACTTAACACAGTGTCTAGCATATAATAGATGCTCAGTATGGTCTATGGAAGACCAAGTGGTAATACATCCTAACAGGAAAATCCCTCCCTGAGGAAGAGGACCACGGTTACAGAATAGCTTCCCTCCATATTTTACCCCCACTGGAAGCAGAGGACCAGAAACGCCTATTTCTGTTGGGTAGTTGGTCAAGGCCAGATCACTGCAATTTAAGCCAGTTTCAGAGACAAGCAGCCTGTATTTAGAAGGGCCTCACACTTGGTTTAATGCTTTCTATTGTTGTCTTGAAATTCTTAATGTGTTTTGAACAAGGGGCCCCACATTTTTACTTTGCAGTAGGTCTCAGAAATTATGTAGCCAGTCCTAACTACTCTGTAAGCTCCATAAACACAGACACTGTCTATTTTGTTTACTGTTATATCTTCAACATCCAGGACAAGTTTGGTGTAGAGCAGGTGCTGTGTGTTTGTGTGTATATGTGTGTGTGTGTGTGTGTGTGTGTGTGTGTTTGCTTTAATTAAAGATTAACTTGAAGCAGAAGCCAATGACTTACTCAAGGGACTCGAAATTTTTGGCAGGAAGTTCAAATTGGATTGAAGGTAGGAGAGTCCAGAATGCTCTGGAAACCAGACAAGAGCCCTCGGCTATTACCAAGACTACTAGACAATGGGGCACTGGCCTCAAAAGGAGTGACATAAGAGGTAGATACCTTAGACTTTGCAGACAGGGTTAGGACTCTACCAAGTGGTTGAAACTCCCATCACCACTGTGAGCACACTTGTGCTCATACTGTTTTTTGTACCTGTGTGTGTGTTGTCAACCAGACAGTGAATCACTCGTTTGTCTGTTTGCTCTCTGTTCCATTTCTTCCTCTTCTCCAGTATGATGGTTAGTTTGATGTGTCAACATGGCTAGATTATGCTATCCATTTACTCAATTAAACACTAATCAAGGGGGCGCCTGGGTGGCTCAGTCGTTCAGCATCTGCCTTTGGCTCAGGTCATGATCCCAGGGTCCTGGGACCGAGTCACACATCGGGCTCCCTGCTCAGCGGGAAACCTGCTTCTCCCTCTCCCACTCCCCCTGCTTGTGTTCCTGCTCTCAGTGTGTCTCTCTCTGTCAAATAAATAAATAAAATCTTAAAAAAAAAAAACACTATCAAGGTATTCCTGTGAACGTATTTGTAGATGTGGTTTACATCTATAATCAGTTGATTATATTATATTCCACTGTCCTCTGAGCTGCCTCTGATGCTCAGAACATCGCAGGGCATCCTCCGCCTGCCCCTCCATCTGGATCCGAACTTATTCTCTCCAACACACCCAGAACCACAAAGCACACCCTGAGGGCTCCAGCACACCCGGCTTCCCTTCCTGGGAAACCCTACACTACACCCACTTGGACCAGGCCCTGACCCATGAGCATTCCCCATGATGGATAAAAAAAAGATTATGCTGGGTAATGCAGGTGGGCCCCATCCAATCAGTTGAAAGGCCTTACCAGCAAAACTGAAGTTTCTTTGAGGAAAAAGATATCTACCTGTGGAGTACAGCTTCGGGTCCCCCCGTAAGTCTCTCAGTGTCCAGCCTGTCCTTCTCAGTGGTCTACCCTATTGATTTCAGATTTGCCAGCCCCCACAATCACATAAGCCAATTCCTTGAACTAAAATCAATCTCTCTCTCTCTCTCTGTCTCTCTCTGGCTTCAGAAATATAGGTAAACACCTGTTCTCCCTGACACTCAAAAGTCATCCGAACAATAGTATCTACCTTGAACAGAATAAAAATCAGTTTACTATGTATCACTCAGAGTCCAGTCAAGAAAACAGAGCATTGCCCGGTAGTCCAGAGGACTGAATATATGGAGCTAGTTACAAAGGCTTTGGAACAGCTGAAAAGTCAAAGTGGGGATGAAGAATCAACCCTAGGTCAGCAAAGGCTTGATGCTCTTCCCACCATACAGCTAACGGGACTGAGAGAGGGTAGTGATGAGAGTAGAGCTCCGGAGCGGGGAGATTCTGAGGACCAGAGCAGGAAACAAAACCATGGTCGGACAATGGGGAGCTTGGCCCATGGAAGAAGGAACTGTCAGGTAAGAGCTAGAATCAGACGAGGCATAGCTGCTCCAGGCAACGGTCCTCAAAGCAGAGAGAGGGAAGAAATACCTTGGCTTCTCCATTCTCCTGCCCTCCTCCAATTTCTACCTGTGCCTCACATTGGCCTAATTTAAGTAGATAACAGTATCTACTTCACAGGATACCTGAGAACCAAATGAAGCATCATATGAAAAGGAGCAAGCACGGTTAAGTATTACATAGAGTATTAGTAGGAGTACATGTGGTCAAGTGGGCACTGTTTTCAATAATGCTGGCCCCGCAGGGCTCATCAGTTATGAAATGACATCACTGTCATATCAGCACATCCTTAACCAAGTCTGGTCCCTGCTACCCCTGTGCTAATCACGCGTTTTAATGACAGCCCTCTGAGTCCCTGGAATGGGTTGTCTGCATGGCATTCTACTTCCCTGAAGGAAGCCTCTGTAGAGGAGGGTAACACACCAAACCTAGACCCTAAGCAGCCAGGCACTCAGCATCATGGAGTCTCAAACACACTTCTGTCCTGGATTTTCCTGGGTCCTTGGATCATCAGTAAGTTCTGAAAATTAGCCATTTCAAACCCAAGAACACACTCCCTGTCTTTTTATCTTTTGCTTCCAACAGTTTATTTCTCGCTACAGCATCTTCTTATGTGCTTTTCATTTACCAAACTCTGTTGGATTTAGTCTGCTTCATCTCTACCTCAGAGAATTGGTGTTTTTTTCCGTTATACTCACTTTTTCCCTCAAGCCATCTTAAGACCTGAGGATCAAAAGGCATCCATGCTGTTCTAGATAGATTGGCCAGAGACGCACAGCAACTCCAGGACCTCCTCATTCTCTGCCAGGAAGGAGAACCTAAGAGTAACTCTGACTTTATACTCGCAGTGTGCGGAGTATAAGGTTTTGGGCAGAAGACACACTAACCAATGACAGCATGATGGGCTGCTGATGTACTGCAGCTGGTATCAACCACTCTGTTTTATGAGTCTGTCAATACGCTCCTTCTGACCTCTTTTGCCTCTTGCAAGCCTCACCCCCAGCGCCTTCTGGAGTCCTTTCCAGCCTCAATCTCCTGAGTGCCCCACACAGTCCTGTCTCCACCCCTTTCTCTCCCACCCGCGTAAGAACTCAGTTCTCTTTCATCTGCATTGTGTTCAAAGAGGTGCAACTTAGGTTAAAGGAAGTGGCTTCCTTAATAAGCAAGCATTTTGGTCTCAGTGGCTGCAATGATCCATTCTCATTAAATTAAACTGAAAAAGGGACCGTTCAGTTGCCGACGATGACGATGATGATCGTGATCATGATACAAGTAACAAAAAACGCACAAACAACATACCACTTGAGTTTAGTTTTACTGCTTTCTCATTAAGAGGATATTAGGGAACAATCTCTTCTTATTGCTTCTATTATAACAGTTACTAATTATCTACAGTTGACCCCATTCGTGAGAAAAACTAAGTTATCTATAAACAGATTTTTTTTAAGTGTGAAAAAAAGGCTGAATGCTTTGCTAGAAAACTATCTAGACAAAAAATATAAACAGTCCTATGTCAAACTAAGAAGCTGGGCAATTTTTAAAAATCCATTCACATTGGAATAGGCCATCCCAACTAAATGAGGTGATATGTACTCATTCGTGGGACAAATATTGCCTAGCACATGCTGTATGCCAAGCACTGTGCGAGCAACTGGGCACGTTGTGACAAGCAGAACCAGACCGTACTCCCCAGATGGAGCTTCTAAGCTGGAAGGGGGACCGATGTTACATAAAGCCTCAAACAGACAAGAAATATACAATTATACATGGTGCTAACTGCTGCCACTTATGAAGCTTACGTAGGAGTTCTACTGAGTCAAGTCCACTTTCTCCTACTCTGGAAGCTTTGTTGTTCTCTTGTTCTGTTTTGTTTTAATTTTTATTGAAGAGGAGTTGATGCCATGTTATATTACCTTCACATGTATGAAGCTTTGCTATTCTTCATTCTGACATTCCTTTTGCATTGACTGCCGTCAAAGACAAGTGTTAACCAGGTCAATGAACTTGATGTGCACACTTGGAATAAAGGGCATATGGGTGTTGCCAGCTTTTTGGACATATTTTTGCAAACAGCAGCTCTTTACCCACACCCTGTTCCCATCGCTTTTTTTTTTTTTTTTTTTTTTTGGCAAATGTTTATATAGCTGTTAAAAAGAAAAAGGGGGGAAGAAACAGCTTTTGGGACTCACTCAACAAAACAAAACATAATATCCAACCAAAACAGATACTCCTCTCCTGCTTTGATTTTCCACCTTCTCAGACTTTAAAAAATCAGTACCAGAGGCTTTTGATTCACAGGGTGGATAATGGCAAGGACTGTGAGGTCAGCAACGTTCCGTTGTGACACCAGGAGTGACATTCAAACTATTTAACAACAGCAGAGCCACCAATCGAAGGGGGGCAGGCATGGGAAGCAAGCCCTAGGTCCCAATCAGGGGCACCAGCCTCGGAGCCGGGCCTGGGAGGCAGCCTCACCAGCTCACATGGCACTTCTCTGTCCTTCCATAGTGTTCCAGCACTCATGCCTGAATCCAGTCTCCCAAGGTCTTTCATCCAATCAAATGTTTATGGAGCACATCCTATGTCATCGTAGCCCAGGAAGTGGGTAGGGAAGAAGGCACAAGCACTCCCGGTCCTCATGGGACTTGAGTCAGTGGTGGTGATAGAAGAAAAAGGCAAGGGGACACACAAAGGATTGCAAATTGCGATCACGAACAAAGCAGATGACGAGATAAGGGAGTGGAGAGAGGGACCGACTTCATTTAAATAAACTCATTCTTACAAGGACTGTTCGGGCTGCCAGGGTTAGTCTTGTACCAGGTATCTGCATCTTAAGAAGGGAAAAACCACTAAGCCAAAGAAATAAATTGTTAATGATGGGACTTCAGCCATAAAGTGGCATAATGAGAAAATTATTTGGAGATGGCACACTGGACAGGGGTTTTTCCTAATCCCATAAATCACCTCATCTAGGAAACCATCCGGGGAGACTATTTTTAAAGCTGGCCCGAATTCACAATTACAAGAAAGTCCTTGTCTAGAAGGGGGTAAATACGGAACTGTTCAAGGAGTTCCTTCTTAGGATCAAGCAGGCAGGGAGGAAGGGCTTTCACTATTTGTTTTACCCAATTCTGTATTGTTTGAGTTTTTAATGAGTCTTTATTACTTCTGTCACTCACAAAGTATGTGTGTGTGGGGTCTCTTCTAAAGAGCTCATGTCTTAATGTATAAACCTCAAATGATTCTGATATTTCTGTATTATTTCAAACCTTAAAATTTGGGGGGTAATTTGTTATAGCAGCCATCAGAAAGTAGTACAACAACTGGGATGAGGCATTAATCTGCCTCCCACAAGTAGTGTGAAGGATTTTTATAAGCCTGTGTAATTTGCACACACCTGTTTAATAGCCAGAGTTCTTGCTAAATTGGCATTTTTTTTTTTTTTTTTACAGAATGGCAGTTTTCAGGAGTACCAGTGGAAAAAAATGAGTATCCTTCACAACAGAACCACAAAGAAAGATCCTAATGAATGAGTTTGCTAATTGATCACCATTTTGACTGGTAAGCTCTTAATGAGGACATAAGTCATCAGCTAATTATGCAAAGCGAGGGTTTGGGAGCACCACCAAGAAGGAGGCAGAGCCAGCTCATTTGCTGATCTCTGCAGACTACGAACAGTATGCACAGCGATGGGACCCAGCCTCCTACCACGGATGATTCCATCCTGTGGTCTTGATCTGCAGAGGCCTAAAATCCTAAAAAAGTTGTGGTTCTGCTTACTTACACATAGTTCAAACTAAAATCACGACTTCACTTCAAAACAGAACATATTTTGTATGCTGAAGGAAAAAAGAGTCTCTTGGTAGATTTTCCAGCTGTAAAATTCTTCATTCATTCCTCAGAGCTCAACCTCTCTCTTTTTTGGAGAGCACCACTCTGCTGGTGCTTATATCTGTCCATCAGGTAAGCCATCTGCACACAGTCCAAAACCATCAGCTTTTACCACATCCTTTTCTACTCCTGTCTGCTCCTTATGGTTCTCGAAGTCCTTAATCTGGCCTCATGTTATACTTCCGGGGGCGGGGAGGGGTGTCTCTGATTCTCTAGGCTTATCTGGCCTTTTATCTCATGGGTTTCCTCAAACCCCCCCACATTAATTCTCCATCCTCACATTTTCATGTTTGTTCACAACAGAACCCCCATCTAGAATGTTCGTCCCCACTTCTTACCACACCAACCTTTACCCAACCCTTAATGTCCATGCACCTCCTCCAACTTGTCATTAGCTGCAGAATCACTTGGCATACATTTACTCTATGCCAAGCTCCCAACTGGGTACTGGGTATACAGCAGGGAAGACAAACCAGGTCTCTACCTCCAGGAGCTTAGCGTCCAACGAGGGAGATAAGAATAAAAAAGGTAAGTCAACAAATAATTCAAATTGTGACAGGTACTATATTAGTTTCCTATGGTTACCACAACTTGGTGGCTTTAAACAACAGAAATCCAGGTGCACTTGGGTGGCTCAGTTGGTTAAGCATCTGCCTTTGACTCAGGTCATGATCCTGGGTCCTGCGATGGAGCCCCACATCGGGCTCCCTTCCCAGTGGGGAGCCTGCTTCTCTCTCTCTCCCTCTGCAGGCGCCCCTCACCCCCAGGATCATGCTCTCTCTCTCTCTCTCTCGCTTTCTCTCAAAAATAAATAAAATCTTTAAAAAAAAAAACAACTCCATTCTCTTATAGTTCTGGAGGCTAGAAGTCTGAAACTAGCAACATTGAGCTAAAGTCAAGATGTCTACAGATCCGTGCCCATTCCAGAGGCCCTAGACGAGAATTTTTTCTTTGCCTTTCTAGGATCTACAGTTGCATTTTTTGCAGTCCTTGGCTCAAGGGCCCCTTCCTCCATCTTCAAAGCCAGAGAGCACAGCTTCTTCTCTCCCTGAATGCTTTTCTCTGCTTCTGTGTGAGGTTTCTCTCTGCCTCCCTCTCATAAAGACAAGAGGGATTGTGATTACATGGTGGGCCCACCAGGACAATCCAGGATTACTCATCTCAAGATCCTTAACTTAATCACATATTCAAAGACCCTTTTTCCATAGAAGATAACATTCACAGGTTCCAGGGCTTAGGACCTGATATACCTGGCAGCCATTACTGAGTTTACCACAGGGGCTCTGCAGAAAACAATCAGGATGGGAAGAAAGGATGCTGCCTTTAAATGAGGTGGCCAGGAAAGGTGAATGCCATGAGGGAAATTTAAGGCAAGAATTAAAGAATGAGAACAAGTCTTGGTCCTTGATTCTTTATCAGTGCCCAACTCAAAATATAAATGTGCATCAAAAATCAATCAAAATTCTATGTAAATAATTTGAATAATGGCGAGCTGTATAATTGTATCATCTCTATCTCATGATAATCTAGCGTACTGCCTCTTGAAATGGTAAGATGGACAAAAATGACACTCATGCACATGTGGATTTGTTTTTTGTATGTTTCTGAAGCTAACTGCTGGTTGATGCTTTTGCTCAAAACTCTGATTTTTTATTTATTTATGCCTCACTTCAAAACAAGTTTGAAGAATTAAATAACTATTTGGCAATGATAAAAGCTTTTGATAAGGATATAGGCCATCAGTCAATTCACTAAATGTTCAGACTAGCCATCCAACTGTTGGGAAAATCCACTTCTTCTATTCATTTGTTGCAAATTATTGGATATTAGCCAATTGAGCCTTGAAATCTATAATTTAAAGAATCGTTAAGGATTTGTGGTTATTTTGCAAATGTCAAAGATGTGTTTTACTTGTACAGAATAAAAGATTTAAGAATTGTTGTTTTTCTTATAATAGATGCTTCTCTTTAAATATTAAATGCTTGTTTTGTCTTAGCAAAAGTAACAGCTATTGAAGATCTCTGGAATGCTGATAATGTTCTCTTTCTTGATCTAGATGCAAGTTGCAAGAGGATGTTCAATTTGTTAACATTCACCTCGCTGTACTGATAACATATGAACATTTATGCATGTATGACACTTAACAAAGTTAAAAAACAGCAATTCATTTATTGCTAGAACAATCAGAAAATGCAGTAAAACAACAAGAAGTACATAAAAACCACCATTATTTCCTGAAAATCTTTGTTGGAATGTTTCAATCCACCGATTCTTCATCTGTTTATCTGTATTGATGTGATAGATTTAAAGATGTGATAGATTAAAGACAACCCCATTAAGAGGTGGAATCTATTTCCCTTCTGCAGGCTGGCCCCGTGGCTAGTTTTGACTACCAGGGTGCAGCAGACATGATGCTGTGTAACTTTGGAGGTTGGGTTTTAGAGGTCTGCAACTTCTGCTTAAGTACACTTGGAATGCTCCCCCCTGGGATCCAGCTGCCAGGCTGCGAGCAGTCCAAATCATATGGAGAAGGCACATGGAGAACCAACGCGCTCCAGGTGACAATCCCAGCCGAGGTCCCAGCTGACAACAGTACCAACTGCCTGCCATATGTGTGCACCATCTTGGATGGGGTAACTCAGCCAAGCCTCCAGATGACTGCTACCCCAGCTGACAGTACGTGGAGCAGCAGTACTTTTCAGCCAAATCCAGTCGGCCCACAGAATTGTGAGAGATAATAAAATGGTTGTTTTAAGCCACTATCCCAATTAAAAAAGCATTCAGTAGGCATAGATATTACTGAGCATAGATAGCTGAAATTCTCTACTTGTCTCTTATTCTATTTATAAATTGATCTTTTTAAAAAGATTTTATTTATTTATTAGAGAGAGAGAGTACAAGCAGGGGGAGTGGCAGGCAGAGGGAGAGGGAGAAGCAGGCTCCCTGCTGAGCAGGGAGCCGACACGGGGCTCAATTCCAGGACCCTGGGATCATGACCTGAGTTAAAGGCAGATGCTTAACCGACTGAGCCACCCAGTGCCCCTATAAATTGATCATTTAATTCATCTACAAGTTGTCTTGGTCAGCATGATGTAGTGTCACTACAGTTTTGGGCTGCCCATGAGATGGGGGAAAACTGGGCTTGGTCCTCAGGAAGTGGGATGGACCATACCTGCAAGCCTGCGGAGTGAAGGAGGCAGAAATAGAAGCCACAGAGCAGGGCCATCTTGGGAAGTCTGGATGGAGAAGAAGACAGAATGAGAATCCAGCACAGCCATGCCCAGTCTGGTTCAGCCTGAGAAAAGGGAACTGGCTAGACTGAAGCTGGAAGAAAAAGCAAACAGTTCAGGCGGATGGGAAAACACGCTACCACTTCCCCACACTCAAGCGGGTGAAAGAGCTAGTTGCCCAAGGGTCCCAGGAGAAGGAGGAGGGGCATAGCATTTAGGCTGGGTGCTGTCTCCCAGTCCTGCCCTCTCACTCTGGGAAATAATCCCGAATCTCAGCGAAGAATGGGGCCAGTTCCTGTTATCATCATTAGAGTGGTCTCAAGGTGGGAGGGGGTAGGCAGCATGTGGGGTGGGGGTGGGCTCATTACATACAATGGCAAACTTAGATGTTAGAATTTAGATTTCACTAGTCACATGAGGATGAAAATATCTGATACTCAAAGACATCTTACTTGGATGAGACAATTTGAAATTACCATAAAAAATGTAAATTGTAAGTGTGTTCCCAAAAATACCTCACAGACATCCTTACATCATGCTGAGCTTGACCCCATCTCTAACCTCATCATATCCCTCATGCTAAAAAACAAAGACCCTCATCATAAAGCCCTTAACAAAACAAAAAATACAAAGTAATGTATATCATGAACAATGCTGACCACTTCCTATGTCTCACCCCGCCCACGACTTGTATCGCGAGCCCTGCCTGGGGATGCAGCGCGAGCTCAGGATCACCAGCTATGCAAAGAACTGGTTAAGAAAGCACAGTGTTACTATGTTTTGAAGCTGCCACAGCAAAGCAGCCTCCTCCAAATGAACTGCTTTGGTCACATGTTAATGGCACAGGGAAGCACTGCTTAATCATCTTGATCTGTCTACAAGATGTGCCTGCCAGCCTACATGTGTTTTCCACTTGGTTCAATCATCCCAGGCTTGTCATTACAAGCCCTCAGACGGTCACAAGCATATGGCTGTCTAGAGTAATAAAGGTGATAGCCAGATAAGGCTCCCAGAGTCCGGGGACTACGCTCTTTCCACTGAGTCTTTAAGCTTGAGGCATAAAAAGATTTCATTGAATTCCATTTAGTGTGCTTTTACCAAAAGTATGAAAGCAGCTCTTTTTGTTACTGGCTCTTTTTGTCTATTTTATGAAGAAGTGTTCTAAGCAGAGTCTTTGGTATTTTTTAATTGGCGACTCACAGTAATGAAGACATTTTAAACTACCAGCCAGTTCACCCAGATGCATGCCTGTGTGTGTGTGTGTGTGTGTGTGTGTGTGTGTGAAAGTGGAAACAACAGTTTCGCAAAAACAGTATTTTTACTGTGTGCAATGGTGAGTTTTATATGCCAGTCTGGTTAGGCTCTGGTGCATAGTTGTTTGACCCAACAGTCTAGGTGTTGCCATGCAAGTATTTTTTTAGATGTGATTAACATTTAAATCACTGCACTTTGAGTAAAGCAGATTATCCTCCGTAATGTGGGAGGGGCTCATCCAATCAGTTTGGTCCCCCAAAGAGGAAAGATTCGGTCTCTAGGCTAGGGTGCCTTCGGACTCAAGAATAGGGCTGTCACTCCTGCCAGTTTGCCAGGCTGCCCTGCAGATTTTGGTCTCTCTCATTGTGTGTGTGCGTGTGTGTGTGCGTGTGTGTGTGTGCGCGCGCGCGTGTGTGTGTGTGTGGGGGCACATCCTGTTAGTTCTGTTTCTCTGGAGAATCCTCATACACTATGTAAAACACAGGAGAGTTTCTCTTTCATTCTAATTAACTGAAAGAAAATTGTTTGTAATTCATTCTATAAGTAATGACTTTTAAAACCCAGTTTTATCATCACGTGATTGACATACCACAACCCTTGCCCACTTAGAGTGTAGGGGTCAGTGAATCTTACTGTATGTATAGCATTGTATGACTAGCACTGTAATCTAATTTTAAAATATTTCTATTATCCTTAGAAGGACCCCTGGAGGCTTTTTTACTCACTCTCTAGTTATCACTTGTTTTCTGAAAAGCACTGTTCAAGAGCAGTGTTTCTCAAAGTGTGATTCAGAACCAGCATCATCGCCATTGGCTGTGAGCTTGTTAAAAATGCAAATTCTTGGACGCCCAACCCAGACCTCCTGAACCAGAAACTGTTGGGGTAGGGCCCAGCCACGTAGGTGGTGATTCAAGGAACACTCCAGGTGATTCTGACACAGGAGGAAGTTTGAGAACCACTGCCCTGTGGAACATGACCTGAAAGGAGGGGGCTCTCGCCTACATGCTCGAGTGTTCTCTGCTCACAAGATGAGAAGGGACATTTGCTGAGTGCCACATTGCCCAGAGGTTCTATGGGGTTCAAGCTGCATTCAGAAATCACCCTAACAGGTCTTCTGAAAAGGGGAAAGTCAGCAGAAAGAAGTGCTTCTCCATCTGTCCACTCACTGGTCTTTGCATTTGGCGTCCTTTCTTTCTCATGGCTCATGGAGGAGCTCTCGGTACCTGAGTCTCCATCCCGTTAGTTAGGCTTCCACCGCTAAGTGGCCCATTCTCCCACCTCCCCAAATATCAACTCTTCTTGTCGCATGTGGTCCTGTCATAGGTCACTGATTAGCCTATGAAAGCTTACAAATTTGTGTCTTATATTCATGTATCCAGCGATTCCACAAATAGAAGCATCAGATCTAAAGACTGAACAACAATAACGATTTCTGGGTAAGACAGATAGAAATCAGGATTGAAAACCAGGCACTTGTGTCCAGTAAGGTGTGCTTCTTTATTCAAGCCATCACTACTCCAGAGACTATGAATACACACAATATGTATGTCATAACTTGTTACTGAAGTAGTGAAACCTTCACAAGGAGTGACATCTTGAATCTCAAAGATGAGGACCACACTGAATATTTTTTTCAGAGAAGGAGACAGAGAGGGGTGTGGGGTGAGAGGGGCAGAGGGAGAGAGAGAATCCTAAGCAGGCTCCATGCCCAGCGCGGAGACAGACGTGGGGCTCGATCTTATGACTCTGAGATCATGACCTGAGCTGAAACCAAGAGTCAGATGCTTAACCGACTGAGCCACCCAGGAGCCCCCATACTGCATTTTTGTCTCTATTTTCCCACTGACAAGCATGCGCTCCTGGGATGGTACAGAACGTTCCTGAACCAACATTCCTCATATTTGAGGGGTACAGAGTGGGCGATGTATAAAATTCCTTCCACCTCTGTATTTATTAGACTCATCAGTGCTGACTTAGCAGTTCCCTTTCTCCAAACTGTGGAGGAGCAGCAAGAGATAGGCTGAGTCCTCTGCAGTGGACAGAGACTCAGGACCTCTATCTGCCTTCAGGAGTCAGTGTGCTCATTCCTCATAACTTGCCCTCGAAGGAGATTTTACTTACTCCATCTTCCACAAGGCTTGCCAAACTCCCAGGCAATAGCTCCAAGACTAATAGATGGGAATATGTAATCAGGACCCCTTACTGCATCTGATTATGCTTCTTCACTTCAGCTAAGAGTAATGTACATTCACAAGACCATCCATGATGTATAACCTTGGCTAGTGCTTGTTAAGTAGCCATGCTAAGCTGTGCGTTTAGCTCCTTTTCTATCCAGTGCTTATTAGGGATCCCTGCTTAGTAGATGCCCAGCTGATGGTGATGAAGATGGCATCATGTTTCAGAACTGAGAATTATAAAAGGGAACCTTCTACAAAGATTCTCTCATATTTCTTAAAGTCCAGATGAGAAAAAACCTGGTACGGCTCTAAGGTAAGACTGTATGAACTGTGTATGGAATTGGGCTTTAGGGGGTTGAGTTTAATCCTGGGGTTGTGATAGCAGCCTTACAGACTCTTTAAGAGAATTGGGAACGGCGCCCTCTTCTGGGAAGCCACAGCCCTGCAGGCACACCATTTAGCTACAGAAAGCCTTTATGTTGAAGAAACCGCCCTTTCCTCTGGTGGGGTCAGGCTGCGGCCATCATCCACAACATGAAGCTTAGCAAGTACAATGTCATTTGGATTTTTCCCCCTCTAACCTCCACTGCTGGGCACCTCTGAGGAGTGCACAAACCATATAGCCTTACACAGCAGCTCAGTGAATGCCAATTGCATAAAGACAAATGGGCCAGACCA